CAGCACCATCAATAACCTTTTGAATAGGACTCCTTCAGCCCTGAGAATGATAAATGGTGATCATATCATATTATAGTGATTCTCAGAACAAATGGCAGAGTGGACAGGCAGCATATGCACTGGCAAAAACCCTTCATCTTCTATGTACCCAATGAGGATTGATACTCAGACTATACAAGGAATTTTAAAATTTTAACATTAAAAACAATCCAAACAAAAAGAATGAAAAAATTAACAGACACTTTTCAAATAAACAAGCACATGTGGCCAATAAATAAATGCAAATGTGTGCAGCATTGTTAGTCATTATACAGACATATATTAAAATGACTTGATGAGTCCAACTCCAATCACAGTAGCAAATATAAAACATTTAAAAATATACCAAATGCTAGCAATGATGTAGGGGGAAAGAACTCTTAATATACTGCTGGGGGTATAAGTCAGTATGCAAGCTCCCCAATAAAAACTAAAAGTAGGACTAGCCTATATATAATCTAGCTATCCCACTTCTGGGTGTGTACCTGAAGGAACTAAAGGTGGCCTGCTATAAGATAGCTGCAAACTCATGTTATTGTGGTCCTGTTCACAGTAGCCAAGTCACAGAATCAGCCCAGTTGCTCAGCAACAGCTGACTGGTTAAAATCAAAGTGCCATCTATACCCTGTAGCATATTATCCGACTAATAAGGAGAGTAAAGTCATGTCATTTGCAGGAAAGAGGATGAAATTAAAGATCACCATATTAAGTGAAATTAACATGACCATATGTTTTCTCTCACATGTGAATCTTCCTTTAAAATAATAGACATGAAAGTATGTATTAGGGACTCGAGAGAGGACTTCTTGGGGCAGTGAAAATGAACAAAGTTTTTTAAAAAGAGGAAAAAGTACAAAGATACATAGAGATACATGCTACATATAAAGAAGCCCTGAAAAGTCTATGTAAAAGAAGTTATTCATAAGAGACCACACTATGGATGATTCTGGTAAGAAAGGTCCAGAAAAGACAAATTCACAGACATCAAAAGAAGATTAATGTTTATTTAGAATTTGGAGAGGAAGAGAGTAAACATGACCACCTACGCAACATGGGCTCTTTTGTTCTCACACAATCTTTATACATTTTAGACATGCTGAGTTGTCAGAGTTAAATGGCTGAGTCCTATGATTTGTGAATTACATCTCAAAAAAGTTATTTAAAATGAAAGTAAAGAGGAAGGAGATGGGGTGGCAGCAGAGGAGAAAAAGAAACCACTGCTGTCCATCCATGTGAGGAGATTTACCTGCTGGGCAAAGAGCGGTAAAGAACTGCTTGGCAGGGAAGGGATACAATCATTTTGCACGTACTGTTTCCTGTCCTCCCCTTCTGCTCCATCATGTAGCATTACTCGAAATGAGTAACAGTATTCAGGCCACTGACATTTCTAAAAGCCACTACAGGAAGTTCCAAGGTTGAAGGATAAAGAAAACCCAACCATTTATTTTAAATAGTCTAATTTCACACTGATGTGAGTGCCAGCTAATGTAGGTGCTGGAAGTCGAACTTTAGGCTCCCTGGAAGAGCAGTAAGTGCTCTTAACTGTTGAGCCATCTCTCCTGCCTCTGCTCAGGTCCTAAGAAATTATTTCCTCCTACTATCTAACATCAATCTTTCCCCTTGGTTTAAATGTAACAACTTAATAGGCTCAGAGTGAGTGCACTCACTTGTAAGAGTATCTATTGAAGTTACAAAATTTGGGCAATCGCAACACATTAGCTGCTAAAACATGCAGGGAAAGCTCAGTACATTCTTAGAAGACACACAGAAAACTACAAGACCTCCCAAGTATAGAAAAGCTTTGTTGAAAAAACTCAAAGCCAAATAAAAAAAAAATGACAAATTACTTTTAAAATCTCCTTTAAATTGAATATGAGAAAACTTAGCCTACAAAATGCCTCACTGTGCATTACTACCCAGATAACCTTCCAAGTGTCTTTCCATTTGTCTAACCTATGAAAATATAAGTGTGTACGAAAGCAGAGGAGGGTAATGTAGAACGTGTCAAGTATCTGCATAAATTTAGTTAAAAAGAGAAACAGCCTCTGATGAATGCAATGACATTCACTTAAATCAAAGCCAAGCAGTAACACCACAGCTATACCAACCCTGGATACATAATGAGTTCTTCTTTATCGCTTCTAAAATTAATCACAGAAATCAACAAGACTATCTTAAGATCTTATAAGTTTAATTTTAAAATGACTTAATATTTTTAATGACTCTAAGTTGGAAGAAAAATATCAATGTCTTCTATCTAAAAGTTTATCCACAACTGATTATTTTTCCAGAAAAGCAATTCTATATTGTCTTGGCTGATTTGTGTAGGGTGTTGTTGTTGTTGTTGCTGTTGTTGGGGTTTTTGGAGGAGGAAAAGAATTCCTACATCTAGGAATGCTAAAGAAACGAGGGTAAAATAGTAAATAGAGTGAAAGAACAAGAATACAAACAAAGACTGGGGACAATTGTCTATTTTTTAACATTGAAAAGAAAAGGTCCTCAAAATTTTTTTTAGCAAATCTAGATTTTTATTTTGAGATAAACAATGATATTATTACAAATTCAAAAAGCACATAAAATCATTTAACATCTTCAGCCCATAGGACAGAGTCTAACACCTAGCAAATATCCAGTAAGTAGTTATTCAACAATAGCAGATGTATGAAATTCTCAAGGAAGGGGAGGAGGAGCAGCAGCAAGAGGAGGCTGTGGCAGCAAGGTTCAGCACTGGAGGCTGTGAGCCTACACAGGAGGATAGGAGCCTGGTGACAGAAACTGGGGACAGAGAGGGGGAGACTCTTATGCTCCATCATCTCAACCTTGACAAGGGTAAGTCAGAGTGAGTTATTGCTACTCTGAAGCAGAGGACCTATCTGAGAAGAGGATTTTAACATTGAACCTGATTTTAGTATTCAATCTGAAAAGTATGCATAGAAACGAATATGCCTTAACGGCTCTCCTTTATCATTCTGCAGTCTAATGACTAAAGTTAAAACATATTTGAAGCATGGACTCTAAGTATATCAGTACTAGTTACATTAGGAGGTAAAGGAGCCAGTTTGAGGTATGTATGGATCAGAAGGTACAGAGTTTAATTAAGAAAATAGCTAAAGGGGAACTTTGTATACCACTTAATGGAGTATAATCTCTAACAATCACAATCAGATGGTGAATATTACCCTAAAGGCATAAAAGATAAACAGGCCAATATTTTAACAGGATAAGTTGCAAAGAGTGTTTAAGAATTGCTTAATAAAAGCAACTACCAACACTGAGCTATTTCTGGAGTAACAGCAAAAATCAGAGGTCACTGTTATGCTGTGATTTAAATGAGTAACTATCTACTGGAAACATAATAAAAGATGTTCCTGCAGGTGTTTTACTAATCTGCTGGTGGGAGGAATCATACCAAACTCATAGTACTATTAGTTTTCTTATTGTACCCGTATGGTTTTGCCTGCATGTTATGTCTGTGCACCATACCATGCAGTGCCCATGGAGGCCAGCAGAGGGTGTCAGATCCCCTAGAACTAGAGTTAGAGATCGTTTTGAGCCACTATATGGATGCTAGGAACTATGCATAGATTGTCTGAGGAACAGTCAGCTCTCTTACTCAACCAGTGAGACACCTCTCAAGTCCCAGCTACATATTTTAAAAGCAGACATGGATAGTTATCCAAAGCTAAGTTTGAAGCCCCATTGGTTTTCATTATAAAGACCTTAGCTAAGTCTTTCCACTTATAACCACTGCAGGATAAGCTAGCCAGTCAGGACCGCATTGGGAGTCCTCAATGGTATAGGAAATCCTGCCTTGCTTAAGGTTTGGCTTCACAAGAGTATATGCTCAGCTTCTCTTACACAGTAGCTCTAATTCAATCCAGTAAACATTAAGTTGGCCAAGATCATACTGGCTTCTGATCTCTGTAAAGACTTAACACAGAACAAAAGCCAAACATGTTTTTCTGCCTGAAGATGCCAAGGAATTCACAACGTTTGATCTCCAAGGTACTTTCTGGGTAATATATGTAACTTCATATAATACAATATTACCTTTAGCCATAAAGGCATTCATTTGTCATCTGTATTATTTGGACTTAGTGGCAATGAAAGCAAAATCAGAGTTTGAACTCCTTAACTTGTTAAATTACCTAAGTACTAGATATTTCTTTATTTCTATGAAGACAAGGTCTTAATATGTAGCCTTTGACTAGCCTGAAACTTGCCGTGCAGACCAGGCAAGTATAGAAATCATATAGATCCACCTACCTTTGCATCTCAAGAGGTCTGGGATTAAAGAAATATACTGCTATGTCTATCAGATACTAGAATCTATGTTTAATTTAAAGTAAACATAACTGCCTAACATATACAAGGTTAGAGTTCCATCTCCAACACTGCAAGAACAATAACAGCATTAATAAATTACTTATTTAAAAAGCAAAGATAATGTCATATTTTTGCTGAGCCATAACAAGTAATAACACTTTCTTCAAGCCATATAAATCATTTTTCACCTTACTAAAAAGGAGGTTTTTTTTTTCCTTATAGCATTTGTTGTTTGTGAGATATAAGATCTTTAGTACCATAAGAGATGGAAAATATTCATCTGGGGGCCCATGCTTGAAACTCAAGTCCAGGATGGCACTCAAACTTGACAGAAAAGCGGTTCCAAGAGCAGCTCAGAACTTCCAGACAAGTCATGGCTCCAGCCTCTTAGGATAACTCTGCACCACACTGCCTTTCACCTGCTGCAAGGAGACTCAAACTCATCACCTATGAAGCATAAGACCTCACAGTCTCACAGATTAAAATGAATGATGGGCAAGTTGTGCTGCATGGATGCGACACCTAGAGGTACATATATACATTCACCAGGTAAAGACTCCTATGACCAGAGATAAAGTCATATAATCCAGAATAAAAGAAGCAGGAGATAGCAGCAAAACAGCAGAGGTGCTTACCTTTTCCGGCAGGTGAAGAATGGTGTGTTCTCCAGCACTGAAGTGAGACAGAGATTTATATGCAGCACTTGCTACCATAGGATCCTGGACAAGGCAGACAGAAAGCAACAGATATCAAACAGCAGATCTAGGGGAGGCAAGAAAAATCTTCTCTAACCAATGCCAGAATCCCACTGATACGTTAAAAAAAAAAAAAGGGAGGAGAGGTGAAAAACAAAACCAAAACATCATTATGACAGAGGAAAGACTGACTGATCATCATTAAGCATTCTTCAGAAGAAAGTGCTCCCAATATTAATAAAAAAAAATAATACTGAGCCAATGGGCTCAAAAACATTCAATATTTTCATCCTAATTTGAACCTTAAAAGTTATCTAATTACTGAAGTCCCTCTGAATTAGTATGGCTTAGTAGGACTGTGAGGATTTAGAGTCTGATAAGTCTGTCTTTAACAGGACAAGTGATCTATATGTAGTTAGTTCAAGCTCATGCATCCACTGGGCAAGTGTGTCTCCAGCAATCCCGGCATGCTGATGCATACTTGGAACCTTATCCCAGGGGAGGCAAAGACAGGCAGGTCCCAGGTCTCATTGCATAGCCAGCCTAGCCTATTAGGTGTATTCATACCAGTAAGGGACCTTGTGTCAAGAAAGATATGACAGAGGAATGACATTTGAAGTTGTCCTCTGGCCCCCACATATATCAGTCATACATGAACCCACATAAACATACAGACTGTACTGTGTACTAGGCCTTCTTTTGGTACACATGAGGAAGGGCCAAAGTAGAAGAGTGAGGGAATCATAAAAGCAAGGGATAATGTCAACAACCCTTCACATCTGCCATTATCAATGAGAGTAGTGCAGAACCATTCTTGAATCTGAACTTACTAAGTGTCACTTTTTTAAAAATCAAAACTTCAGTTCCAGAGAGCTAAGTGTTTATCCTTAGTCTTTTTCATAGCCATTTCCCCAGTTTGTTCTGAGTCACTGATAGTTCTATAAAAATACCT